AGAACAGATACATCTCTTTTCTTTTTCTTTTCTTTTATTTATTTATTTTTTTGGTTTTTCGAGACAGGGTTTCTCTGTGTAGCTTTGCGCCTTTCCTGGATCTCGCTCTGTAGCCTAGGCTGGCCTCGAACTCACAGAGATCCACCTGGCTCTGCCTCCCGAGTGCTGGGATTAAAGGCATGTGCCACCACCGCCCAGCTAGTTTTTAATTTTTTAAATGTTTTTGAGACAGGGTTTCTCTGTATAGCTCTGGCTGTCCTGGAACTCACTCTGTAGATCAGGCTGGCCTGGAACTCACAGAGATCCACCTGCCTGTTTCCCGAGTGCAGAGATTAAAGGTGTGTACCACCACCCAGCTGGTTTTTAATTTTTAAAAAATTATTTTTGTTTTAACTTACAAGTATGTGGGTGGGTGTGCCCATGAGACCCTAAGAGGACCTTAGATCCCTGAGAGGACAGCTGTGAGCTGATGATGGACATGGGTGCTAGGAACTGAACTCTGGTTCTCTGGGAGAGAGCAGTATGTGCCGTTAACCACTGGGCTATCTTCTTTCCAGCCCCCAGTTTTTAATTTTTATTTTATGTGTATTAGTGTTTTGTTTACATGTACGGAAGTGTGGGTACCGTGTGTGTGTGTGTGTGTGTGTGTGTGTGTGTGTGTGTGTGTGTGTGTGCCCAGGGAGGGCAGAGGAGGACACTGGATTCCCTAGAACTAGAGATAGTTGTGAGCTGCCATGTGGGTTCTGGGAATCAAACCTAGGTCCTCTGGAAGAGTAGTATATGCTTTTAACCACTGACCAATCTCTCCAGGCCCCCCAAGGACAACTTGCAGGAGTGGGTATTCTCTTTTTACCATGTAGATCCAAGGATTGAACTCAGATCATCAGGCTTAGCTGCAGGCTACCTTTACCTACTGCACCATCTACTAGCCCAACTACTGCCTTTATATGATGGTTTTTGTACCCAATCCTCAGCCTAACAGGCAATATGGAAAGCATCATAATTCCTCATTTAAAAATACATGACAGAGGTGGTGGCATGCCTTTAATTCCAGCAGCCAGGTATAGATGGATTTTTCTTTGGGCTACCAGCTAACAACAAAACAAAACATGGAGACTTATTATTAATTATAAAAGCTCGGCCCATAGCTTAGGCTTGTCTCATGAGCTCTTATAACTTAAAATAACCCATTTCTATTCATCTACATGTTGCCGTGTACCTCTCCTCCTGAATGTCTTGCATTTGGCTGGCGACTCCCAGAGCTTTCTCTGTCCAGAAGTCCCTGGTATATCTCCTGCCTATCTATTGTCCATTTAGTTTTTTATTAAAACAATCACAGTGACATATCTTTACACAGTGTAATCAAATCTCACTCACAACCTTTGGGAAGCAGAGGCAGGCAGATCTCTGTGAATCCAAGCCAGGCTGGTCTACAGAGCAAGTTCCAAGACAGCCAAAGATACACAAAGAAACCCTGTCTCAGCTAGAGAGATGGCTCAGGTGTTAAGAGCACTGGCTGCTGTTCCAGAGGTCCTGAGTTCAATCCCCAGCAACCACATGATGGCTCACAAACATCTATAATGGGATCTAATACCCTCTTCTGGTGTGTAGGCATACATGCAGACAGAGCACTCATACATTAATTTATTTATTTATGTGTGTGTGTGTGTGTGTGTGTGTGTGTGTGTGTGTGTGTGTAAGAAACCCTGTCTTGAAAAACCAAATAATCAAATAAATTAATAAATAGCATGACAGAAAAGAAGAATGAATTAAAAAAAAAAACCCACAACAGAGCCAATAGTAACAAAAACAGCACATTTACTGACACAAAAACAGGCACATAGACCACTGTAATGAAACCCAGAACCAAGACCTGGACCCTCTGATTTGTGGCAGTTACCAACGACAGTCGAAGAAGTGTCTTTGACAAAAGGGACGGTAAGAAAAGTGGACAACCACATGTCAAAGTCGACACTGGATCTCTGCCTCTCACACTGTAAAATCAACTAAGAGTGGATCAAAGGCATTAATATAAAACACGAAGCTTTGGAACTGGTAGAGGAAAGTGCGGAGAGGCACTTCAAGATCTAGGCAGTGACTCTGAACGCCACACCAATAGCTCAGGAAGTCAGAGCAAAGGCTGACTCACAGAGCTGTGTCAGATTAAAAAGCCTCAGAAAGCACAGAAGAACAAACACTCTCTAGAGTAAAGAGAAGCCTGCAGGATGGGAAAGAATCTGCTACATATTTAGTCCACAGTGGATTAGTACCACTGTGGATTAGTGAGATGCTCAGCAGGTAAAAGCACTGATGACCCAAGTTTGATTTCTTGAACCTACAGTGGAGGAAAAGAACTCATCCTCGAAGGCGTTCTCTGGTCTTCACATGTGCACCATGATAGCTATACACCTGCGCGCGTGTGCGCACACACACACACACACACACACACACACACACACACACACGCATGTGAGTACACACACATAATAAATAAATATAACAAGTTGTTTTTTTAAATCAAACATATATCCAGGTGTTTGTGGTGCATGCCTTTAATCCCAGCACCGGGGGGCAGAAACACGAGGGGCCCTGAGTTTAGGGCCAGCCTGGTCTAAAGAGTGAGTTCTAGGGCAGCCAGGGCCACACAGAGAAACCCTGCCTCATAACACCAAAAACAAATGAACAAACAAACAAAGCACATATAAAGAACTCAGAAAAGTTAAACAACAAAAGAGCCAATCACCCAGCCAATAAGAGGGCAAATAAATCAGACAGTTCTCCAGAGAAGCACAGATGGCCAGTAAGCACATGAAAATACTTTCAATATTTGGAGCCATCTGGAAAATACAAAACAAAACTAATACAGGACGTGGCTGTAGCTCGGTTTAGTGTTTGCCTAGCGTGTGCCCGCCCTGGGTTCAATCTCCAGCACTGTAAAAGGCAACAACAAAAGAATCCATTCCCCAATCCTAAACCCTGTATTGATATTTCATCCTACCCCGGTCCCAAAGGCCGTCATCAAACAAAGAACAAGGGCTGGAGAGACAGCTCAGTGGTTAGGGCACCGGCTGCTTTTGCAGAGGACTGGGTTCAGTTCTCATCACCCGCATAGCAGCTCACAACTGCCTGTAACTCCAGTTCCAGGGGATCCAGTGCATTCTTTTGATCTCTGTGGGCATCGGACACACAAGTGGTGCACAGTATACATGCAGGCAAACCGCTCATGCACATAAAATAAATCTCAAAGACTTTTTTTTTTAAAAAAAGAAAGCAAACAATAAATGTCAGCCAGGATGCAAGGTGTGTGTGAGGGGTGAGGAGTCCCATTATCGCTGGTGAGATGTCAATCAGGCCAGCCATGATACCAGTGATCATGGAGGTGCCTCCAATTATGAAAACTGGGGCTTCCATATGATCCCTCCATACCTCTTCTGTGTATATACCATCAAGAAATAAAAGATAGCTCTCTGCAGAGATACCCACACACCCACGTTTATGGTACAATATTCTAGATAGCCAACTTATGGATTAGCTTTGGTATCCATCAACAAGTTAATAACTAAATAAAATGTGATATATATTATACACAATAACGTTTAACTCAAATACAAAGAAGAGGGAAATCTTGTCTTTTTTAAATGAAATTCATGAAACTGGAGATCATATTAGCTGCATAAGCCAGGCTTTTTCTAAATATTGGTGGGTGTTGCAAAAGTTGAAAAGTGTGCCAGTTAGTTTATGTCAACTTGATACAAAGTAGGGTGCCCTGGGAAGAGGGAACCTCAGCTGAGAAAATGTCTCCATCGGACTGTCTTTAGGTGAACGCCTGTGGGGCATTTTCTTAATTAATGATTGATGTGGGAGAGTCCAGCCCACTGTGAGTGATGCCACCCCCGGGCAGATGGTCCTAAAAAACAAACAAACAAACCAAAACAAAGCAAAACAGCACGCTGAGCAAACTGTGGAGAACAAACCAGTATCCGGTATTTAGTCTGCACATATATGTGTGCCTGGTGCCTGACAAGATCAGAAGAAAGCACTGGATCCCCTGTAGTTACAGGTGGTTGTGAGGCGCCATGTGGACGCTGGGAACTGAACCTGGTCCTCTGGAAGAGCAGCCAGTGCTCTTAACCGCTGAGCCCTCTCTCCGGCTTTCATTCTATTTTTTAAGACAGAGTCTGTGAGTGAGCCTGGAACTCACCTGTTCTAGTCAGCAAGAGGATTTACCATGGAGGCTGGAGAGATGGCTCAGAGGTTAAGAGTTCACATGCTCTTGCAGAGAATCTGTGTTCAGTTCCCAGCACCCACGATGTCTAGCTCATAACTACCTCTAACTCCTCTAGAGGATCTGACACTCTTGTGGACCCCAGGGGCACTTTTACACACAGTCACATGCGTATATACATGTAATTAAAAATAAAAAGACAAGCCGGGTGGTGGTGGCGCACGCCTTTGACCCCAGCACTTGGGAGGCAGAGGCAGGCGGATCTCTGTGAGTTCAAGGCCAGCCTGGTCTACCAAGTGAGTTCCAGGAAAGGCGCAAAGCTACACAGAGAAACCCTGTCTCGAAACTGGCCCCCCCCCAAAAAAAAATAAAATAAAAATAAAAAGACAACAATAAACTTTAAAAAAAGAAAAACTTTACCATGAATGGATTTGGCTTCTGTCAAATGTTTTTTTCTGAACCTCATTTATTTATTTATTTATTTGTTTGTTTGTTTATTCATTTATTTATTTATTTGGTTTTTCAAGGCAGAATTTCTCTGTGTTACAGCTCTGGCTGTCCTGGAACTCACTTTGTAGACCAGGCTGGCCTCAGACACACAGAGATCCGCCTGCCTCTGCTTCCTGAGTGCCAGGATTAAAGGTGTGTGCCACCGCCATTTTCTTAATGGAAGTTCCTCTTTCCAGCTAACTTTAGCTTGTGTCAAGTTGGAAAAAAATAAAACTCAACCAGGATATATATGTAACATATTTGTATTATCCATTCACCAACTGATGGACATCTAGGCTGGGTCCATATCCTAGCTATTGTGAATAGAAGAGCATGGATGCGCAAGCGTCTCTGTGGTAGGATACGGAGTTCTTTGGGTGTATGCCCAGGAACAGAATAGCGAGGTCATAGCGGTAGTTCTAGTTTTAGCATTCTGAGAAACCTCCACAAGGATTTCCATGGTAGCTACAGTAGTTCACATTCACACCGGCAGCGAAGGAAGATCCCCTTTGCTCCAGTCCTGGCCAGCACTGTTGTCTTGTTGCTAGTCATTGACTGGGGTGGCACAGAACCTCAATGTAGTTTTAGTTGGCATTTCCTTGCTGACTAAGGATGTGGAACCATTTTAAAAGCATTCATTGGTCATTTGTAATTTTTTTTTTTTTATTTTTGGTTTTTCAAGACAGGGTTTCTCTGTGTAGCTTTGCGCCTGTCCTGGAACTCACTCTGTAGACCAGGCTGGCCTCGAACTCACAGAGATCCACCTGGCTCTGCCTCCCGAGTGCTGGGATTAAAGG